TTATACACACTGAACAACTCCCGATTTTCCCCTCCTCTCTCATTCTCTGGTAATCACAATTCTATTTTGCTTTCTACTTGTACATAATTATTAAATATGTAATGAAAAATGCTGCTATGCATGCTTTGCTCTTACATAATTTAAAATAAAACAGCAGAGTTATTAGCTTAATGGCAATATATATTTACATAATCATGTTTACTATTAGTATTCTTATTTCCACTTATGGGATCTGTTTTAAATTTTTCAGCATGGTGCTAAATAGAATAATGTGGCACTCATTTGTATTTGGCAAAAAATATAAATAAAAACTAAATTGCTTAAGTTTCTATTTAAGTAGAAGAAAAATTTGTTAGAATTTTCACAACAAAACATATTCTGGAGTCAATAATTCTGAAGTATATTTTCTTTCTTATCCAAGTCTTAATCTTGTATAGGGAGAAACGATAGCTATAATAATATTTTAGACCATTATAAACAATATTCCTTTCAAGCTAATGGAGCCACTCCTTGGTTTAAAGAGTTCCTTCATATTTGACCACTACAGGAGGAAGGCAGTATTCAAAACCATGCATCAGAGGGGCCCACATGTTACCCAGTAGCAACATGAGCAACTTAGGGAGCATATTTCCTAAGGGTTTCCCAACCTTGCAGCTTCCGGACTGTAGTATCTACATACTTTGAAAGTGTGTAAGAATCTAAATTACAAAACACTTTAGGTTTGTAAAGCTTTTCATATTACTTAAGAGAAAACCTATACCAACAACATCCTATTGGCCATAAAACCACTTTAATAATGACCCTCAAAGTCATTTCCTTGAATATTCTTTCACATCACTGAATTTTTACCACTTATTTCATTATTCTGGCCCTCAGAGGGCTTTTATAAGACCTAAAATGCCATTCATAATAATAATATAAAGGAACTAGGCTTACAGTTCTCCTTTAAGGCCAAAAAAAGAAATACATTTATAGTATGTATATATTATCATAAATAAGAATCCTTCCCTTGGTAAAACCTCAATTACATAGGTATCTCGGAAAGCCCTTAAAAATCTGATTGTGAAATCAAAAGGAAAAACACAATAGTACCAAATTAATGTTTAATTATTTTACTTTCCCTTCATATTTAGAGTTTTAATGGGCATGGTGTACTGGTTTTTCCTACTGTTTAACTTTCAATGGTACCTCTGTCAAAAAAGGGTACTATGAATTACATGGAACTACAAAATCCATATTATTTAGGAAATAACTTTGATGTTAATAATTCTGAAATATGGCAACATTATCATTAAGTTTTAGAAATATTAAATTAAATTGATACTGATTTTAGAACTTGCTAACAAAGTTGTGCGTGTGTGTGTGTGTGTGTGTGTATGTGTGTGTGTGTGCATGTGCACGCATGCATGCATTTAAGAAGACTCTAGTAGAATATATGCAGCAATACTGTAACTTCCAAGTTTACTTTATGGAAACTAAAAAACAAATTTTATAACTGAAATAAAAGTTTAAATGGATAGGATTTTGGCCAGTCTACGAAACTTAGTTGAACTATAAAGCAGTTTCACTGTCTTGAGGACTTATCTGCACTCAGGATATTATGTGCAGAATAAAGGAAGGAAGGTTATAGAAAGAAAGAAGAAAAGTTTCCATTTCCTCTTCTGATAAAAGGTGTAGGCTAACTAAAATTAAAAAACAAAAAAATAAAAAAGCAGGAGCAATAACAGTCCAATTAGGTTGGGTCTGGGCCTGTCTTACAAACTACAATACACTGGAAAGAACTGCTTCATCTCCTTAATCTTTAGGTTTCTGCTTTGCAAACTGGTGATATTTATAATTCCATGAGGCTGCTGAGAACACCAAAAGTGACAATGAATTTGCCCTCAGCACAGTGCCCAGCATAAAACTCTGTAAATTTCAGCTGTTGGGTTTTATTATTGTGGCCATATTTGTCTTAAACGTTCTTTTGCTTCTCTTTCTGTGGCCCTCACTCATTCACCCCAAGCCCACGGTGCCCTCCTGTTTGCTACCTTCCGCATCTCACCAAGATCTGCTCTAATATGCAAGGCATTTCATGTTTTAAAATTATTATTGCTTCAAAACATGCAAGAGGAGTAGAGTTTACTTCTGCTAGATATTGTTAGGAAAGCAATCTGATTAAAACAATCCATTAAGATATGTAAGAACCTTAATTCTTCTTGAAATTTCCAAATATTTATAGAGAACAAGCAATTGGAAATTTGTTTAAGAAAATAAAAATTTCAGGTAATATTCAGGGAACTTATTTTTGAACTGGGCAATTGCCACATAGGCTAATCCTGCTGAGAAATCTATACCTTCCCACCCTAAGTGAGAAGAATATCCTAAGAAATTTCTACACCCTGAAGCTGTTCTTTTCACCAAAGGCTGATTTCAGGAATTCAATTAATTAAACATCTTTTACTCAAAATACACAAAGACAAAAGAAACTTCACGTACAGCAGCAAAAGGTGTTTCACCTGAGATAGCAAAATGATAGAAAATGATGAGAATAGGAAAAGACAGAAAAAGAAAGGTAGAAAGGAGAAAGGCCAAAGACACAGTGTAAAAGGAAGATAATACTGGTAAAGAGGACAACAGAAGCAGAGGCAGGGCAACCATAAGCCACAAATGACCCAAGTTGACCTCATTCTCTAAAAGAGACAAGGGTAATCTATATGATGTCCAAACTCCATGGAAAAGTTGGAACAAAATGTTACTTTAGATACCGTATATGCCCATATTATTAAGTGGTTGATTTAAAAGGACATGGGATGTCTCCATAAGAACTGGGACTAGGGAAAATTTGAGTCACACAAAGAAAAGTGATTATGTTTAAAAGTCAGTCTTAATCAGTAAATAATGCAGAACAATGAATATATTTCCTTCTATTTGGCAACAACACAAATACAAAATTATCAAATGACACAATCTAATATGTGCATTTTAGCCACATAAATATATATCATTATTTTTGTAAGATCTGGAGGATGCTGGGCGCAGTGGCTCACACCTATAATTCCAGCACTTTGGGAGGCCGAGGTGGGGGATCATGAGATCAAGAGATCGAGACCATTCTGGCCAACATGGTGAAACCTGACCTCTACTAAAAACAAAAAATAGCTGGGCATGGTGGCTCACAACTGTAGTCCCAGCTACTTGGGAGGCTGAGGCAGGAGAATTGCTTGAAACAGGTTGCAGTGAGCCGAGATGGTGCCACTGCCGCACTCCAACTTGGCAACAGAGTGAGACTTCATCTCAAAAATTAGAAAAAGATTTGGAGGACATCTTTTCACATTACTTTTATTAGTTTCTTTATCAATGTTACTGATTTTGGTGCATAAGCTACTTTCCTTCCTTTTAATTTAATCATCTAATTTGAGGGAGAGAATAAGTACATTTTTCAAATCTCTTTTCTACAAAACATTACAAAAGTATAGCAAGGAAAATCTAGATTTAATTGAAATATGTAAACTAGACATACTTAAAAATATATATCAAAAGTTCCAAGTCTAAATCAGCTCGAATACATTATTAACTCCAAAAATCATGGATTAAACAAAAGAAATTATGTTTGCATTGATGTGTGAATCTGCATCCATTTTGGTACCACATAATATATGCAACTGCTCAGCTCTAGCTGTCCTTGCAGTCACATTACCATATTATTCAAATGTATCTATCATTTATATGTAAATAGACAATATAAATGGCTTCTTCACAAGACAACAATTTTCAAATGACAGACACAGGAGACATTAGCAAAATAAAAATGTTGCAAATATTCACTCCTTTATTTTTTTAAGAAAAAATGGAAAGTACTTCAAATTTTTTGAAAAAGTAGTATGGTAATTACAAAATGGGATCCTAATACACTGATAATACCAACAGCTATTCTTCGCAATAAATGTCTGCACCGATGTCATTTGTATCTTATAAATTACATGTTCTTAGATCCATCTGTGAAAATTGGGATGTTAATTATCATGGTTACATTTCATGATTCCACAGTTAAATGCTGAAGTGGTGCTACAAAAATACCATATGTTTTTCTAAGAGAAATGGAGAAAGATTAATTATGAGTTCAAGTCCAAGTCTTCTAGCAGTAATACTCTCACACAATAAGATCATTACATTGTGTGCTATGCAACTGGAAGTTTTAATTAATAGCTGAAATACCAACTGAGGGGGAAAACTTTGAAGTCTAAATTTTAACTGTCAGGCTTTCACACACACACACACACACACACACACACACACACACACAATCTTAATAAGCATGCTTTTGAGAAACCAAGTTACCAGTCCAAAACTAAAGAACCAATCTTATTGCCTATGAGCTTTCTTTGATAATGATCACCATCAGGCTGTTTAATCCTATGTAATAAACTCAAAAATTACCATGTAACCTAGTAACAAATAGTTTATAAATAGATAACATTTGATAAAAATTCAACTTAACATTTTTCTAGGTTTTTTAAGATACATATCATTCAATAATCTCTTATAGGGCCACTATTTTACACAAAATTACAAGTCTCATGTATTCAGATAAAATACTAACTTCACGGGCCGGGCGCGGTGGCTCAAGCCTGTAATCCCAGCACTTTGGGAGGCCGAGGCGGTGGATCACGAGGTCAACAGATCGAGACCATCCTGGTCAACATGGTGAAATCCCGTCTCTACTAAAAATTACAGAAAAATTAGCTGGGCACGGTGGCACGTGCCTGTAATCTCAGCTACTCAGGAGGCTGAGGCAGGAGAATTGCCTGAACCCAGGGGGCGGAGGTTGCGGTGAGCTGAGATCGCGCCATTGCACTCCAGCCTGGGTAACAAGAGCGAAACTCCGTCTCAAAAAAAAAAAAAAAAAAAAAAAAAAACTAACTTCACTACAGCAATCTAAAAACAAAACTCTATGATAACACTGTAGAAATTTCATTCATATTTTAAATGTCTAAATTTAAAAGTCTTATTTTACTTACCACATATTCAAACACAAGTGTCAGCGTCTCCTTGGTATGGATGATGTCATGAAGTAGCACTATGTTAGCATGTTTCAGTCCTTTTAATAGAGAAGCTGTAAAAGTAGACAGAGAGAAAATTTATCATAGATAGCAACTAATATGTATCATTATAATTTTGGCACATTTTCATGTGACATATATCTATTTTCACATGTTCCAAGTCAATAACAATTCAAAATGAAAGGTAGAAAAACAAGACTTTTTTTTTGAGATGGGGTCTTACTATATCACTCAGGATGATCTCAAACCCCTGGGTTCAAGTGATTTTCCTTTTTCACCTGGAATTACAGGTTTATCACACAGTACCTAGCCAGAAAAACAAGGTTTTCATTTACATAAAACTTTCTTCAGTTATTTTACCTGTCATTTGTTATTAATCGCTAGTTAGGTTTCATTATGGTCAGATATGATTTCAATTCTTTAAATTTGTAAAGTTGATTATCTAGAATATGGTTTAACTTGGTATATGTTCCATATGTATGGAATCTGTATTCTGCTGATGTTTGGTGGGGGGAGCTCTATAAATGTCTATTTGATCCTATTATTTAATAATATCATTGAGTTCTTCTATTAATATATCCTTACTAATTTTCTTAATAGTGGTTCCATCAACTACTGAGCGAGGCACACTGGCATCCTCAACTGTAATGACGGATTTGTCAATTACTCATTTGAATTCTGCCTGTTTCTGCTTTTTGTATTATGAAGCATAGTTGTTTACTAAATACATGTTTAGGATTGCTATGTCTTCTTCATGAATTGACCATTTTATCAATATGTAATGTCTTCTTTACTCCTGGTAAATCCTTCCCTTCCTCCCTCCATCCCTTTTTCTTTCCTTTCTTCCTTCCTTCCATCCATCCATTCATGAGACAACGTCTTGCTCTGTCACCTAGGCTAGAGTACAGTGGCATGATCTCAGATCACTGCAACCTCTGCCTCCCAGGTTCAAGAAATTCTCCTGCTCATCCTCCTGAGTAGCTGGGATTATAGGTGTCTGCCACCGCGCCCAGCTAACATTTGTATTTTTATTAGAGACAGAGTTTTACCATCTTGGCCAGGCTGGTCTCAAACTCCTGACCTCGTGATCCACCAACCTTGGCCTCCCAAAGTGCTGGGATTACAGGTGAGAGCGACCATGTCCGGCTTACTCCTGGTAAATTTGTTTGCTCTGAAGTCCCCTTTGTATAGCCATCCACCATTTTCTTGATTAGCATTTACCTGGTGTATCTTTTCCCATCCCTTTTTTTTTCAATCCTACTGATATCATACAGTTGAAGTTCCTTGTAGACAATATATGGTTTGGTCATATTTTTAATGCATTTTGCCACTCTCTGACTTTTCATTTTGATGTTTAGGTCATCTAGTTGATGACACTGGTGGCCCTGAGCAGGTCCTTGATCTCTTGGCAAATAATAATACACCAAGATCATATCTTTAAAAAGACATTTACAATACCAAGAGTGAACTTTCATGTGAACAGTAAAATTTGGGTGATAATTTTTGATGTGTTAATAAGTTCATTAACTGTAACATGTGTATCACTCTGGTTGGGGATTCTGATAGCTGGGGAGGCTGTGCCTATGTCGGGGATAGAATATATGAGGAAATCCTCTGTACTTTCCAATCAATTTTGCTGGAAACCTAAAACTGCTCTAAAATGTAAAGTCTGTTAAAAAACTAAAATTAAGAGATTTACCCTTATTTTAACATATTAAAATAAATTTCAATTATTTAATATTTCACCCAAATAAATAATATTCTAGATACACAATTATCATGCAAATCAGTATGCACTGGACAGTCATCAGAGAAGGCAAAAATAAAGTACTTAGGGCTTAGTAGTACACTAAGTTCCAATATTACTTCAACAAATGTGAGCTCCTATTACCAGAGCTCACATTGTTATTGCTATGAATTTCCATTGCCTTTCCCAAGCAAACCTGTTTCATAACAATATAGTAAATTTAATCCCAAGATTAAACTTTTATAAACACATATTGGTCATAAGAAGGCCATTAAGTCTAACAACTGATCGGTACAGAAGACAATAAGAAGTGTGTTTCCTCTGGAACTGAATCTGGAACATAAACATATATTCCCAGGCAAGAGAAGTAGACACTAATGATTGTAGAGAAGACTTCTCTTCTGTCCCACATATATCTGCCAAGGGAAACTTAGTTTTGCACACTAAAAATCTTATTGTAAAAATATCTACAGGTTTGTTTTATCTGAGCTTTATAAACCAGCACTCAAGTGAAAAAGTAATTACAATAACACAGTAAAAATCACAGCATGTGAACTTTGAAGAAACAATTACTACAGATTTACCATAGAGTTTAGTTTTGTTAATTCTAATAATTTACAATATTCCTTCTTTTAATTATTCAACTAGCCCAGTAGCCTTAAGCAATTGAAACTTTATTAAGTAGCTAGCTTTCAGATGTTAATCTGGGGATCACATTGGCTCATTTTAAAAGGGCTTTTCAACCAGTCTTCTGAGGTGCACAGATCCTCAGAGATCATTATTTCAAACCACAGCAGGGAATTTTTAAATGACAGCAAGGTATGGCACATAACACCTAGCCAACACAGGAACTCTTCAGATCAAATGAATTAAGGAACCCTGAATATCATGTTGTAAGAAAGGCACATGGCTTTGTGAAACAAGTTTTAGAAACATATTATTGAATATTATTTGCAATCTTGGACAATTCCATTTTTCAAGTTAATACCTCAGGTTGTCAAATTCAGAGATGATTCATCCTTATTGGCAACAGCTCCATGAAGATACTAAAGCTTCTACTTCAGTGAAAATCTCATGCCCTGAGGACACTTTGACACAGGATTTTTTAAAACCGTTTTCCCCCAATTACTGCCTTTCTTCTCTTACCACTTACACCTAAATTGTTTCTCATTTCTCAAAGTAATATCTTCATACCCATCATTTCTTACTGTGTTTGTCCCACAATTTCAGTAAAATAAAATTCCTGCCAATGTTCATCTTGGGAAGAAAATATTTTTTCCTGATAGTGACTAATATTATAGAAAAGTGTCATGTCATTTTTATATTATATTTTTGACCACTTCTATATGAAACCTCAACGCCTCCACATTACATCCTAATAAATCTCAATAATTATGACAGATTTTAGATTTCAGATAATATTTATATAAACTTCTGAAACACACTGTCAGTTAAATAAATACCAGTATCTGAATTTGAAACAAGCCCTCTTGCTTTTGAGATTAACATAATGAATGCATACTTGGAAAAGGACAGAGCCACTAATTTCAAAGCTGATAGCAGTAAAAATGACATTAATGGACAGAAAACAGCCTACGATATCTACCAACATCACAGTAGGTGACAGACATGACTAACTTTGAGGCTGCCAAAGGCAGCAGCCACTGGTCTCAGCAAGGTGCCAGATACTACAGTTAGCAAGGCAAGAGAGTCTCCTAGCTGCCAAGTCAGTCCAGAGATTGACACCTACAAGTTCTAGAGCCAGTGTGTCTCCCTCATCAAGACAAACACTGTCAAAATCATACTCCATGTAATCCTAATAATACCATAAATGTACGACACGTTATTTTGTCACTGTTTACATACAAAACTCCTGTAACATTAGCATTAGTAATTCCAACATCCTTGGTTTCTTCATAAATTTTAAGTAAACATATTGCAATGTTTTAAATTTATTTCACCAGAGAGGTTTGAAAAGGTACAATTGCACATGATGCAAAAGACTTGGAATTAAGAGTTAAGGGTGAAAATTATAACCATAATTTGGGAGCTGTGATGTCAAAACCATACAAAAATAGAAAAATGCTTGCTCATAGAGGTAGTTGTGCTCTGACAAAAATCCCAGTAGGATAGAAGGGTGCAGGGAGCCTTCCCTTAGGCTGGCAGAAGGATTCAGATTTACATTAAGCAGCCCTATTCAAACCTTGGTTTCCCACTTTGGGAACATCTTAATTTTTCACTCCAATTGGGAAGAGATGAATTTCATCTAAACTAAAATCCCATCATGTTTAAAATAAATTTTGAGATAATATGGAAAATTGGAGTAAGTTCATTTTATTAGATACCCACTGTAGTGGTGCTTTTTGTTTTTGGGGTTTTTTTTGGTTTATATTTTTGTGTTAATGTTAATAAAGAGGGAAAAAACCTTTAATACTTGAGATAATTTTCTAGGTTATTATTTGACATCCTACTGGGAAAAAAGAGATTACAATGACACACAGCCCATCCTCCATCACTTCACCTTCAACCTGTGGGAGGGAAAAAAGGACATTCACAGGCTCCTTTCATATTATGTGTTCTTTCTCAGAAGAGTGGAGTGGAAGGATTGCTGCCTGACTTTTCCAGAATTACTACCCATAAAACCCAAGGAGCCAACTATATCTCAAGCCACAACCACGACAAACATCAAGTTTTTCTTCAAGCCCACAGTTTGATAGCAGTAAGGCTGTTGAAATTCACTTTTACTACACATAATAAAACTACTTTTAACTGCAAAGTTCTATCTCATTTACTTGCCAGTGGAGTCTGAATATTTTCATAGCTAAAATATTCTGAGGGGAAATTTGAAGGGGGGACTAAAAAATGCATGCACAGAAGAGACGGGATTGCTTGCTTAACAGTGCCTGTGATGAGGACACAGTCTAGCAGAGAAAGAACATGTGTTTTGAGGACTGATACGCAGCTCCGGGTTAGTGCACTCACAGTTCTATAATGCATGCTGCCTGTTTGGCTTAAACCCTGGGGGAGCAATGTGGTTGTGATCAATCTGGACTTTCTCCTTAGCGATATCTAATACAATAAACATGCCACATGGAACCATAAATTAATAAATGAGAAAATAAAGGAATGGGGCCCCAAAATAGAATTAAATGTTCAACCCCATATTTGCTTTTTATTCTTTATATATAGTCAACTCTGGCTTACGGAAGAAAGAGGTCATAGCTAACCCAAAACCCATAAGGTTAAAATAAATGTGGTGCCATGTAATCTTAATTTAGCTAAAATCACATTCAGGATTTAGAGACA